CATAAGGAAATGAAGATCATTAGAGAAGAAATAAATGAAGGTAAAATAAGTCTTTTATTTTTGTTTTCTTAATTGATCTAATAGTTAACAGTTTGTTCAAAATAGAAGTAGTAAGAATTTATTCAGTGATTATAGCTGATAGATAACTGATATGAATGATGCAAGAAACAGTAGGAAGGAGTTAGGAAAACTCTGTCATAAGGTAGTTGCATTACTGATGAAGCAGTTTAGTGTTCTTTAAAAGTGGATTTGAATCAGTTGGAATCATGCATTGTAAACTCTAGGAAAAGTACTTAAATTTAAAAAAAATAAAATTGATGTGCTAAGAGAGAAGAGAAAATGGAAATATATAAAATCCTCAATTAAAACCAAAGAAGAGAGAAAAAGAGGGAAAGACAAAAAAAAATTCAAGAAGAATGAACAGAAAACAGTAATGAACATGGTAGATGTTAGTCTGTAGCAATAATCACTTTAAATGCCAATGGCCTAAATACACTACTTAAATGACAGAGTCTGTCAAAATGGATTAAATAAAGACCCCTTTCAGATTGTTCACTGTTAGTATATAGAAACATAACTGGTTTTTGTATGTTGATTTTGGTATGTTGGAACTTTGCTGAATTCATTTATTAGTTCTAACAGTGTGTGTGTGTGTGTGTGTGTGTGTGTGTGTGTGTGTGTGTGTGTGTGTGATTTAGGGTTTTCTACTAATGCGGTAATGTTACCTGTGAACAGAAATAACTTTAGTTTAGCATCAAAAAGAATAAATTACTTAGGAATAAACTGAAACAACAGAGGCAAAATAATTATGCACTGAAAATTATAAAATATTGTTCAAAGAAATTAAAAAAGACATGAATAAATGGAGGACTTAATATGAGTTGTGATAAAAAAAACCAGTGACCGTTTAAGTTAAAACATATTTATTACAGTAAAATATACATTGCCATTAAACCCCCTCAAAATATTCTCCCTCACTTCGAACACACTTATTTCATCATTTTTGCCATTTTCTAAAGGAGTTCTAGAAGCACTTTTCATGAGTGTCTTCAGTTGTGCTGTCATGGCTGCCTCAACGGCCTGAATCATTTTCACTTTGGGGAAGAGCCAGAAGTTGCATGGTGCCTGATCTGGTGAATAAAGTGGATGAGAACACACCATAATGCTTTTATTTGACAGAAATTGTCACGTCACAAGTGATGTGTGACACGGAGCATTGTCAATGATGGAGGATGAAGTAAACACAGTATGAATTTATTCTTGGTATGCAGGGCGCATACAACATTTGAAAATCAATTAATGTAATATTTTACAATAGTAGATTGAATAAGAAAAATCATATGATTAAATCAAATAAATGCAGCAAAAGAATTTGTAAATTGCAACTGTATTAGTTAGGGTTCTCCTGAGGATATACAGTAATACTTTAGTTTGCGAGCATAATTCGTTCTGGAAACAAACTACTCGTATTGCAAGACATCGCTTGTTTACCACGTTAAAGTGTATTAGAAATTTTTGCTCATCTTGCAGAACTTGCAAACCATGTTACTCACAATCCAAGGTTTTACTGTATATGCATATACCCACCTTATAGGAAATCGACTCACATGATTATGGAGGCCAACAAACCCCAAGATCTGCAGTAAGCAGGTTGGAATATAACTACATCAGGAGAGCTGCTGATGGTATATTTCCAATCTGAGTTCCAGGAAGAGCTGATGTGTCAATTCAATTCCAAATTCAGGAAAATGTCCATGTCCCAGCTCAAGGCAGTGAGGCAGGGGGAATCGCCTTATTTGGAGGTGGGTCAGTCTTTTGTTCTATTCAGGCTTCAACTGAATGGATGAGACCCACCATGGTAGGCAAGCAATCTACTTTATTCAATCTATTGATTTAAATTTTAAACTCATCGAAAAACGGTTTTACAGAAACAAAAAGGATAATGTTTGACCAAACATCTGGACACCTGATGGCATCATCAACTTGACACATAAAATTAACAATTACACCAAAAACTATTATGATAAAAACTCTCAGCAAATGCGAAATAGAGGGGAATATCCTTAACCTGATAAAGAACATCTACAAAAAATCTATAGCTAATATCATACTTAATGATTAAAAACTAGATATGTTTCCAATAAGATCAGAAACAAGGCAAGGATGTCTTGTCTCATGACTGTTTACAATTAAGTAAAACTTCATTAATGTTTTTACTGTGGATTGCAGTGCTATTTGATGAGATGAGAAAAACGAGGAAGAACAGGTTTGGGTGGGAAAATATGGCTATTTGGGCCATGTTAAATTTGATGCATTTACTAGATATTCCAGTGGACATATCAAATAGACAGTTGAATGCTCAGGTATGATGTTCTGAGAAGAAGTATTTTTAAGTCATAGGATTGGGTGATGTGACTTAGGAAGAGTATTATGGAAGAGTAAAGAGGTCCCAGAAGAGACTCTCAGGAATGCTAGCACTTAGAGGTGGAACAGAAAAGGAGACAAGAGTCTTTAAATAAAGACCAGCCCATTGGAGAAGCAGAGAGAAAGCCTTTGTACCTGCTAGCAGGGGTGAGAATATGAAAGTGCAGCAGTGGTTAGCAGATGCTATACAGTCATGTATAATAGATTGGTGAAGAGAAAACAGAAGGACATGAGGTTGGAGCAATGCAGACGTCAGTCAATAGTTCTCAAAATGATGAAAGGGTAACAAGTCTGGGAAGGTACATCCAGAAGTTGAGGTTTGGCAACAAAACAGAGAATTTAGGCAACTCTAGACAAGTTCATGCCATTATTGCAAGTTTAGCAAGAGAAGCTGGCAGGATCTTGCAAAAAGGTATTGCAAGGGCCGGCAGAGTGACGCGATAGTTGGGAACTGGCTTGGGATGCCAGAGAGCCCCGGTTCGGATCCCACATATGAGGGCCAGTGGCACTGCCCTCTACAGCTAAGATGCTGAGCAGCAGCTTGACCTGGAGTGGCTTGCAGCCCCTGTGGCAGTGGGTTGCCATGGGCTACCGTGTGTAGCCAGCAGCCAGCGTGAGCGGCCGTCCAGAAGCCGGGGACTGATCTGCCTCACCCGGGAAGAGCGCAATGATGGTGCCAACTTGGGCCAGTGAAGCAACGTCCTCCACAACTAGACTAAAGAACAAAATGACAGCAACTTGTCTGTTCCCCTTCCCCCAATTCCCCAGGACTGTTCCCATCCCCACAATTCTCCAGTTAAAAAAAAAAATCTTTAACAAAAAAAAAAAAGGTATTGCAAGAAATACAGTAAGCCTGCACAGGGGTTGGAGGAGAAAAAGGCGAATCTAGCATCATGGAGGGCATAAAAAAAATATATTTTATAATACTGTTGACATGTAGACATTTTTGTTTTAATGTAGTCAGAATTATCGTTTTTTTTTTGTTTTGTTTTCTTTTTCAGGGCTTCACAATTTTGTGTCATGCTTAGAAAACCATCCTTACTGCAGTAGTATAATATCTGGACATTTTCTTTGAATTCTTTCATTTTGGCTCTTGTAATCTCCCTGACTTTATCTGATACTCTCCTCCGCTTTCAGTCTACTGCAGTCATGCTGCTGTCCTTGAACATGCCAGGCACATTCCTGACTCCCAGTGTTTGCACCTGCTGCTTCCTCTACCTGCAAATCTCTTCCCCAAGACCTGCTCAGTTCTCTGCATAACCGCTTTCGATCTATGCTCAGAAATTATCTTCTGAGGAAGAATTTTTCTGACCACCCTATGCCAAACTGCAACTGCTCCCCTTCTTGCTTCCTTTACAGCATAAATTCTTATTCAGCATAATTTTTTTATTTGTTTATTTATTCAGATTTTTGTTTATTCTCTCTCCATTTGATCCTCATAAGAAGGTTAAGCCCCACAAGGATGGAGTGTTTTTTCAAAATCTACTTTGTTCATGGTGTTATGAAAAATGACTAGCATGTAGTAGATGCTCAATAAATATTTGTTGTCTGCCTCAGCAGCTGCAAAGAATAATAATAACAATAATTCATGTTTTAGGAAATAAAGCAGTCTGACAGAGACACTAAGTAGGTCAAATATTGAAAATGATGATGAAAAAATTAGAATTTTAGGTAAAAATGGAATATTTCACACATTGGAAAATAATTGCTATATTTACATTAGTACTAAAAGGCTTCTAAAAAATGAAAATGTAATCTTGGGAATAATAATGATAACACCTAATGCATGTGGTGCTTGTTAACTACTTGCAACATTTGAAGCATTCAAAAAGTATTTGTAGAGACTAATTTAATCAGAGGAAGGTGAGAAGGGAAAGCTGAGACAGAGGTGAAGGACCTGGTCAGAGGTTATTGATCCATAAAACACAAAGACAGGATTTGGTCTCAGGTGAGCTGCACTCCCAAACACTCCTGTTGTTCTCTAGCTACTTGAATTTCCCAATTGTACTGTGTTTTCTGTGGCCACGCCCCTCCTTGAGGCTTCTTTTCTTTATCTGTGAAATTGACAGGATGGGGTTAGGCTGCAGGGTGGGCTGCATTTTGTAAAGCAAATCATGTTTGCAAGATCTGTCAGTGGCTGCATTGTCAGGTCCTAAGAAATATCATTGGTGCAGTCTGAAAACTAAAAGAACAGATTAAAATTTGACCTGAGGAATCTCAAGGACAGCCCATAAAACACTGTTAATTTCTGAAAAGTGTGTTTTCAGAAAGGCAACACAGAACAGCAGTTAAGACTACGATAATTTGGGAAGTTAGTTGAAGTTCTGAGGGGAGCCAGAGAGCTTTGGGATGCGATGGGTTGAGCCCGCCCCCATATGGTCACAAGGGAAAATGGCAGAAGCAAGTTATATCCTTGTTTCCTACCAACCACTGTGTCCCTTGACTTAGAGGGAGTAATGAGAGTTTGATCATCTCACTATTTTTCTAGAGAGCATCCATTGTTTAAACTGATCACAGGATAAACATTCCTTAGTGAGCATAGCATCTTGGCTCTTTCTAAGGTGGGGCCAGCTAACCTTTCCATCCCTGGTTCCATCTAAGGGCGCCTCTCTATTCCCTGCCATGCCGGGCACACGCCTCACTCTGGGCGCTGCAGGTATGATCCTGTGACCTGGAACGCCTCTGCCTCCTTTTCTATCAGAAGAAACCCCCATAGTCTTAAAAAACCCAGTAGAAATATTTATGTGACCCCTTTCCACCAAGAGCTGGAGTTTATTGGGAGGAATGGAGTGTTTCTTTTGACCTCACATCCCCCAGACTCTAGGACCCTGCAACCCACTAGCAAGCTGGTTCCCTTTGCTTTCAAATATTCTTAAATGCATTTTATCCTAAGAGTTGTAAACAACAGAAAACAACTATTGGACCTTAGGCACCTGCATTTCCCACCATGACTACTGAAACATGCTTTTAAATGGTTTCCCTGCCTCCATTCCTTTTCTCCTTCAATCATTCTCCAAACAGTTGTCAGAGTGATATGTTCAAAAATAGTCATCAGTAAGCCTCTGTTTTTATGTGAAACACTTTGATGGCTCTCCCTGACTTGTGGAATGGGCTTCAAATGTTTTGACTATGTACATATATTGAACTATTTTCCATCATGCACCCACAACATGGATTTATTTAGATATTTATAAATCATATCTATGTATTACTATAGTCACAAATCGTGTTTGCTATAAAACACATAAAAGTTAAAGAGTTAAAACTAAGAGCAATATTTACAATGTTGTTAAGAGTGTAAAAACCTTATTGCACTAAATCATATTCTATGATGAGAGCAGTGGAATTGGATGTACTTGAATAATTTTTAAAATCTTTCTTCAACACTGTATTCTTCTATTTCAGTTTTTTTGGGTACTTCATCTTCATGGCTGTTGTAGCAATAATAATAGAAGTTCATTTTTTTTCCCATCATGCCAGTGGACTCTTGTGCAACCCTTGGTGCAAATTTAAATCCACTGTGGAAATGATAGGCTTGTAAAACAGGATCTGAACTCTCCACAGTGGTATTAAGGAGCCTTTACAGCCCAAACCATGCTCCCCTGCTACCTGGTCTCTGAGCACTGTCCTTCATGCCTGACATCCTTCACCTCACACCTACTGCACAACTTATGGGCCCCTGGCTGCACCATATGGTTTCATAGTTTTGTGCCTTTGCACATGCATGGGATGACTTTGACCTCATTTGTCTGCTGTGAGTTTCTAATGATTTTTCAAAAGTATGCATATAGAAACCATTTGTCTGTGACCTTTTCCAAATCCCACTCCTGGCCCCTAGAATCCATTGCTTCCTCACTTGGTGCATGGATAATGTTTTGATAGTTCTCCCAACATAATTTTTTTAGTGTATTGTAGGTTCTTATTTATTTGTCCCGTTTCTCAAGACTTGACGAAAGAAACCAGTTATCATTGACAATTTTCTCAGTTCAGGGATGGAGTTCAAAAAAGTGTTTGTGGAGTGAATAAGTGACCTACTATTAGGTCACCCTTAATCACTAGATATACAGGTCCTAATGTCTTTGGTGGGACACCTCAATCTGCTGTGACTGGAAGCCTTTTTCAGTCTTCTTTTGCAGGACTTCTTGTGAGGGATGTTTCTTAATGGCCCAGTCATCTGGGATTATTCTGCTCTGTACCCACCATTATGCCTGAGGACTGCTGTTATGGTGTGTGCTAACACTTAAGGAAGAAAGGGGGGACTACCCCACAGACATTCTTAGACACCCAGAGTTTTTTTGTTTTTTGTTTTTTGTTTTCCCTTGTTCTCTATCAATGTCCTGACTAGATATTTTTTGTTGGGGCAGGAGAGGTGAAGGAGGTGTAGAAAAGGGACACAATCCTGTTGAAGAAACTGAATGGGAGAGTCAAGACTTTCTGTCAGTGAATGAATTGCAACTCCGGCTGACTGTTCTGTCATTAGCTCCACGTTGGTAGCACTCCATCCCAGGACTCTAAGAAGCCTTGGACTCCATTTCCCAGAATCCTCTTTCCATGGAGTTTCAGGTTAGAGCTGGCCAATGAGCAGCACTAGCAGAAGATTTAGAAAGTGGGAGGGAAGGAGAAGCTGCTGTTCTCTAGAGTCAGCTGCAGCCATAACAAGAGCTGATAGGGGATTCTCAGAGCTACCCTACAAGCGCATGAGACCATCTGCTTGTCTGCTACAGGCCGACACAATTGGTGGGAGCTTCCCAGAGATATTCATCGACTTTGCAGCAAGCTCTTCAGAACCACCCACTTCAGTTCCTCAGGCTGATTCACCAGTGTTGGTTTCCTTGACATTTGCTTCCCCAGCTGTTCCAGTGGGTATGTAACTCCTTACCTCCTATCTTGAATTCTTTACACCTGGAATATGTGGAGTTGTTTCTGTTTTGCTAACCAAAGTCTGCCACCTCCTGTGGTTGTGAGGTATATAGAATGAGTTAGATGGTTGTGCTGTTGATCAGCAGTAGCAGGTATCTAAATCATCTCTAAACATAGATGCTTAAAACAACCACCATTTTATGGCTAATGGTTCAATGGGTTGGGACTTAGGACTTTCAGAGCTCAGCAAAAATGTCCATCTCAGTTTCATGTGGCGTTGCCTGCTGTGACTTGATTGGACTGGACAACCCGAGAAGGTTTAATTTAACGTGTGAGGGCTTGGTGCTGGCTGGCAGGGTACTGTCACCTCCACATGTCCTCTCTCTCCACGTCGTCTCCACCACTCAGTAGTCTAGTTTGAGCATCTTTCCATGGAGGCTGGCTTCAGGAGGGTTAAGCAGAAGCTGCATGTTTTCTTACTCCTTGATTGGCACAGCACCAGTTTTGCCAAATTCTATTGGTCAAAACAAGTAACCAGCCCAAGCTGGAGGGAGGGGAGCCAGAGTTCTCCTTATGAAGGGACGAATGGCAAAGTCACTTTGTAATGGGTGTGGAGGGAACGTTGAACCTTTTTTTTTTTTTTAAAGATTTTACTGGGGAATCGGGGAAGGGAAACAGACAAGTTGCTGTCCTTGTGTTCTTCAGTCTAGTTGTGAAGGATGTCGCTTCACTGGCTTATGTTGGTATTGCGATCATTGCTTCTATCCCGGGTGAGAGAGATTCTCTATAAATATGGTGCTCTTTTTTGCTAAACTTCCCTGAAGCTCCTTTGCTAATCTAAACTTTCCTTAATCACCAGATGGCTTCAGTCTGGGCAATCATCAGCTGGTGCTTAGCAGTGGCAGATTCAAGAGGAAGCATGGGGCTTGTTAGGGGTGGGGAGTCCAGATGCCAACACACAGAATGCCAGGTGAAGTTATAGGCATTTTCTAATTGGTGTTGGAGACAGTGAAGGCAGCTGAGAGGGGTATTCGGAAGAACCCTCCCTGGAAGGGGGAGACTGCTAATCAGGGAACCAGGCAGAC